CTTCTAATACCTTTTATTGAATTCAAGGCAAATTAGCGTGCAACCTTTACGAGGAAATGAGACGCCAGGCAGCAGCAGTAAATATTCAGAAGGGTTTCAGAAGACATACTGCCAGAGAATCTTATTTAAGAGTTAGACATTCAGCAATAACAGTTCAAACAGCTCTAAGGGGTATGGTTGCTCGCAATGAGTTCAGATTGAGAAAGCAAATGAAGGCTGCTACTATTATTCAGGTTATTACTAAGAAACTTCTTTGGGTCCTTTTTGTTTACCTAACTGAGAAAATAAAAGCATGATACTTCCATGTGTGACATTGTTCCTTTTACACCAGTAATCTGATGGTCCACCTTTATTTTAAATTTAGGCTCGTCTTCGTAGTCACCTCGCACATTCTTACTACAAGAAACTCCAAAAAGCTGCCCTTTCTACACAATGTGGCTGGAGGAGCAGGGTTGCACGAAAAGAATTGAGGACACTGAAGATGGTTCAGTTTTCTTTAGATTTAAAATTATTATTTTGCAAAAGTTTCACAACTTCATGATATGAGTCAGGATCTTACCGTTGCAATTAATTGAATCAGGCCGCACGAGACACAGGAGCCCTTAGAGAGGCAAAAGACAAACTTGAAAAGCGTGTTGAGGAATTAACATGGCGTTTACAATTAGAAAAGCGACAGAGAGTAAGTTCATTTCCATACATTGGCATAATATAAAGCTTTGTTTACACTGTCATTGATTATTCGGGTAATACAGACTGAGCTGGAAGAAACAAAAGCCCAAGAATATGCAAAACAACAGGAGGCTTTGCAAGCAATGCGGTTGCAAGTTGAAGAAGCAAACGCTGCTGTTATTAGAGAGCGGGAGGCTGCAAGGAAAGCTATTGAAGAAGCACCTCCAGTCATTAAGGAGACTCCGGTATTGGTTGAGGATACTGAAAAAATCAATTCATTAACATCGGAGGTGGAGGCTCTAAAGGTATGCGTGTTTTCACTTATTAGATCATCCTTTATGTATCTACTATCAAAGTTTGTGGTTAATTTGTTGATTAGGCCCTTAATATCGTTAAGTGGATTGGTTACCTTAAATCATTTTTCTTAACAGGCTTCACTTCAGGCAGAACGACAAGCAGCTGAAAACTTGAAAAAAGCTTTCTCAGAGGCAGAAGCAAGAAATTCCGAGTTGGCCACAGAGCTTGAAAATGCTACGAGAAAAGCTGATCAGCTTCATGAATCAGTACAAAGGTTCGTAAAAATACTGAGGAACAATCAACAGAAAATGGACTTTTGACTTGTGTCATTTTGCTTACAATTGTTCTAGTGCAAAGAGACTATTACTAGTCATTGTTATCCTTATTGGTTGAGTTATCACTGTGTTTCTTCTGTTCCGAACTTTTACATGTTGATTTTGCTTCTGATTCAGACTAGAAGAAAAGCTGTCCAATTCAGAGTCAGAGATTCAAGTACTCCGGCAACAGGCACTTGCTATATCGCCAACCAGCAGATCTATGCCTGCCCGATCAAAAACAATGCTTTTACCGGTGCCAACAACATATGAATTATTTTTCTTCTTTCAGATGCAGATAAATACAAGTAGATCTGTTTTATTCATGTAAATTTTTTCTTCTCAATGTTCAGAGAACTCCAGAGAATGGTAATCTTCTTAATGGAGAAACAAAGACAACACCGGTAAGGGAAAGTGAAATTTCTGATTAAATTGCACGTTCAAAAGGAGACAGGCATACTTTCTTGTTTCTTCAATTGCTTATCGTCTATAAATGTCACAGGACATGACTCTTGCTGTACGGGAACCAGAGTCTGAGGAGAAACCACAGAAATATCTGAATGAAAGGCAGCAGGTATCAGATATCGAAACTTCTTGTACTAATTGTAATGATGGGAACCCCATTTCTTGAATTATTGCACTCTGCTTTTCTCTAACATTATGTTATAATCTTCGTGTCATCCAGGAAAACCAGGATCTACTAGTCAAGTGTATCTCACAAAATCTTGGGTACGCTGGGGGGAAGCCTGTTGCTGCATGTGTCATATACAAATGTCTCCTTCACTGGAGATCATTTGAAGTTGAAAGAACTAGCGTTTTTGACCGTATCATTCAAACAATAGCTTCGGCCATTGAAGTAAGTTGATTCTTTCTTGATTCATTGTTGAGAAGCATTTATGATTATTTCAACATGTTGTAAAGTGCAGTTTCTGGATATCAATTGGAAATGTTGTCTTCCATACAGGTCCCAGATAACAATGAGGTTTTGGCGTATTGGTTATCTAATTCAGCCACTTTATTATTGCTTCTTCAACGCACATTGAAAGCAACTGGAGCAGCTAGTTTAACGCCACAGAGACGAAGAACAACATCAGCATCCCTATTTGGAAGGATGTCACAAGTAATAAAGCTGCAAATCAATTTGTTTTCCTAACCTTTTTTTATCTGCCTCGTTGTATTAGCCTCAATCATCTTGTGTGCCGCTTTAACAATCTAAATAGGGATTAAGGGGATCTCCTCAAAGTGCTGGACTCTCTTTTCTGAATAGACAAGGGCTCACCAAGCTTGACGACTTGAGGCAAGTTGAAGCAAAGTACCCCGCACTACTTTTCAAGCAGCAGCTTACTGCATTCCTCGAGAAGATATATGGAATGATCAGAGATAACCTAAAGAAAGAGATATCTCCTCTCCTTGGCTTATGTATACAGGTAAGTCTTTGTTGCTTTGTGCTCGTACAACAGTTTCTAGGAAGAGAGGTTATAAATTAGAGGGCTTGAAAATAATAACCGATTGTTCTAGATAAACATTTCTTAGTCAACTCCTTCAAAACCTCCAAGATGATTCTACTACTATTGCTATTTAAAAGGGTTTTCATGTAGTTCTTTGTTGTTTTTACTTTATGCATGTTGATATGCTGGTACTTTTCTAGCTTTAGTTTTGTGAAATTTTCCGATTTCGTGTAAGGAAATGTTTACATGATACAGGCACCAAGGACATCAAGAGCAAGTTTGGTGAAAGGGAGAGCACAAGCAAATGCTGTTGCTCAACAAGCTCTGATTGCACATTGGCAAAGTATTAGGAAAAGCCTAAACAGTTACTTGAATCTAATGAAAACAAATAATGTGAGTCTTAAAATTAACAAAAGTAAAAGTTATACGTTTGTTTTGATAATGAAGATTAAGTATATATATAATACGTGATGCAGGCTCCACCCTTCTTAGTCCGCAAAGTATTCACACAAATATTCTCCTTCATCAACGTTCAGCTTTTCAACAGGCATGTTTCACTTATAATCTCTCCTTTTCTTTCTTCTCTCAAATTTCTTTTTCCTTGGTTGATAGAAATATCTCTGTCATAACATTTTGCAGTCTCCTTCTACGTCGTGAGTGTTGCTCATTCAGCAATGGGGAGTACGTTAAAGCAGGTTTGGCTGAATTAGAGCAGTGGTGTGTAGAGGCCACTGATGAAGTAAGCCGAGATTGTCACGCTTTGCCTCCAAATTAATTCCATATTTGTACATCTTTTAAAATTGAGTCGGTGTTTCATTTTCTTACAGTATGCTGGCTCAGCTTGGGATGAGTTGAGGCATATTAGGCAGGCTGTTGGCTTCCTGGTAAATTTCGTAGTCGATACTATGCCACTTCTTTTATGTGCTCCCATAACATAGTGCTTACATGAACTTTGCTTATTTTGACCCTCTGAACAGGTAATTCATCAAAAGCCTAAAAAGACCTTAGACGAAATTACAAGAGAACTCTGTCCGGTATGTAGTCTCTTCTACTTAGTCAAAGCAGTTTTTAGCGCATTAATGTTAAAACTATTTTTCCATGAGATGATAACTGAAGTTTCTTTCTGGTCCAGGTGCTAAGTATACAGCAGCTATACAGAATAAGCACAATGTACTGGGATGACAAATATGGCACTCATAGTGTTTCATCAGATGTATGTTTCACTTGTATATAATTAAGCTTTCTTTGTCTAGATACGATATTAATTGTGCTCTTTCCAAAACCATAGGTTATTGCAAACATGAGGGTTATGATGACAGAAGACTCGAACAACGCCGTGAGCAGCTCTTTCCTTTTGGACGATGACTCGAGGTAAGCTAAAACTAATTTTTGTTCAATCTCTTTTGTAGCCTTCCCGTTTCTCATCTAATCCATGGAATTAATCAAAACCACAGCATTCCATTCACGGTTGAAGACATATCAAAGTCAATGCAACAAGTAGATGTAAATGACATTGAACCTCCTCAACTAATCCGTGAAAACTCGGGTTTCGGATTCTTACTCACACGCAAAGAAGGTAGTACATCGTAACTGTTCCCGGAGAGCTCGGTGGTCCATCAAAAACGTTTGTTTCTACCGCATATACATAAATCCATCGTGTGACCCACTGCATCCCTATGGGCGTTTTGTTTATATTTTCTCTTTTCCGGTTTCTATTCATTCTTCTTCTTTGTTTTGGGGATCAGTCTCTGGCCTTTGTATTTGTGGAGAGGCCGAGTTTATTTCATTCTTTGCATCCCTGTAGTTATGGAAACTCACAGGGGTTATTTGTTTGCCATTTGGTTTTGTCATAGAATGGCTTAGGTGTGTTTGATACTGTCCTGCCCAGAGAGGGGAGGAGAGTATTTTGTTTTAGTCAATCGTATATTTTGTTGGTTTGGGCGAGTCTTTATAATTGTAATGAAAGAACTATAATTTGTTTTCACTATTTATATAGGTTGCACATCAAATATCTCTTCATGTGATTGTTGGTGAGTTTCGTTTCATTAGTTAATCTTTGGGAGGATCAGTGAAAAGGGTATTTTTGGTAATTGTTTCCAAAATCAATCCACAAATCATTCACAGACCAAGAGGTACAATCACAGGACTGTAATGAAATACCAGACAGACGAATGTACCATAACATTACTAGATCTTGTTCTCTGTCTAAAATATTTCCAGGGTTGTCTATTGATGTGCTTTATCTCGTTACGTGTGAACTTTTTCAAACAAGTTTTGCTCAATCTTTAAGGGCGTAGAGAACTACATTGTGTTTCAAAACGAAAAAGGATGTTCAACAACCATATCTATGTGGTCATAATCATTTGCACCTACAACAGAAAAAGAGTTAAAGTGATTAAAGGCTGCAACAGAGCTAGATTACAAACGTTCTTTATTTCCTTGATATATAATAAGTAGTCACTCCCAACATTGTTGTGTTTCGATAAAGCATGACCATATTCACAGTTGTCCATAAGTAGCTGAGAGGGTGATTGTGCGTCCTCGCTTTGGCCTAGATTGTATGCATGTCATCATTTAACATCCATTCCTGATGAGAACTTTGTGGAGCATCCCGAGGACTTAGCTCTTTATTAGTTGTCTTGGAACTGAAGAACTTAGATCTGATTGAGATTAATTCTCGTACTGCTTCAGCAATTCGCATCCTATCCCTTGGATATTCTTCAGAACACCTTACTCCCACCTGCAAAACCAGTCTCAAGCACTCATCATTGGCGTCGCTGCCTCCACTGCTCATACAACCCGACAATAATGACTCAGTGTAGCTGTGGAGGTTATAATCGCCTACAAATGATTCATCTGTCGGTTTCTTTTCAGCAAACATCTCCAAAAGTAGAATTCCAAAGCTGTACACATCTCCTTGTATTGATGGTTGGCCTCCCATTCCATATTCTGCTCGAATTTCAAAGCAACAACAGACAATGAGGTTGAATAGTAAGAGGTTAAAACAATACTTTTTGCGTATAAATGTTTATTTACCTGGTGCGGCATAGCCAATGGTGCCTCTGACACCGGCAGAACTAAACTGGTTTAGAAAAGATTCTCGATCATATTTATAGAGGAGCCGAGCCAAACCAAAGTCACTAACATGAGCAGTCAGATCATCGTCTAGAAGAACGTTGCTTGGCTTAACATCACAATGAGCTAACGGGTCATGACAATGAACATGCAAATACTCCAAAGCAGAAGCCACATCTATTGCTATGTTGAGTTTCTCTGCAAGTGTTAGGAGTCTCGAGTGCTCATTTTCCAGTTCTAAATCTTCAGACTGCAGCCACATATCCAGACTTCCTTTTGGCATGAACTCATAGACCAGAGCTCTGAATTCATTTCCTTCAGAATCGAAGCTTGAACAAACTGTTATTAGTTTCACAAGGTTACGATGCCTTATACGCTTGAAGGCTTCGCATTCTGCCACAAAGCTTTTAGTTGCTCCACGCATCAGGAGGTTCAGAACTTTAATAGCAACGAGTTTATTCTCAAGGCCAAGCAATCCTTTAAACACATTACCAAAGTTGCCTGAACCAATCAGATTGCTTGAAGAGAAGCCATTTGTTGCATTATGAAGCTCTTCATAACTTATCTTGTCATAGATTATCCCCACAGTAGAATCAAATGGGTTACTACCACTGGCATCGTTCTTCTTTTTTCTTCTATTCTTGAACCAACACAGAGAAGCCACAATTATGCATAGCAAAAGTGAAGCTATACCTATACCAATACCACTGGCAACTTTTTTTCTAAGTGAGAGAGGCTTTCTCTTCCTTGGTGATGCCTGCACAGTGCATGGCTTTAGTTTCATTTCTCTGACGCCTCCGCATAGATTTTCATTTCCAAATACAGAAACTGTTGAAGCATTTCGAAACACTCCTATCGTTGGCACCCTTCCTTCGAACTTGTTCATAGAAAGATTCAGGTTTTGCAGCAAAGGAAGGTTGGCCAGATATCGAGGTATGGGGCCAGAGAGATTGTTGTTAGAGAGGTCAACTTTGGTTAGGCTTACCAACCGTCTTATATCTGGAATGGCTCCCTCAAACGAATTTCCTTGCATATAGAGAAATTCCATTGAGAGACAACCCCCTATAGCTTGTGGGACCTGTCCTGATAATCTGTTGTTCGAAGCACCTAGTCCAACAAGAAGTTCTAATTTTCCAACCTCTTCCGGAAAATGGCCGGTCAACAAATTGTCTGACAAATCTATGTAACCGAGGGATGGAATTTGCAGTATTTCCTGAGGTATAGTCCCACTCAACCTATTTGTATCAATCCATAGGTCTAGCAAGTATTGACAACGTCCAAGACTCTGAGGGATCTTTCCGTGGAAACTATTGTTATTCAAATGGAGCTTTTGCAACTGAGTCATGTTGCCAAAATAGGATGGTATTTCCCCCGATATTGCATTTGAATACAGATCCAACACTCGCAATTCCAAAAGCTTCCCGAAAGAGACTGGAAGTCCTCCTGTCAAAAAATTTGTTTCTAAACTGAGTTTTTGCAGGCTTTCAAGATTCCCTATGTCACGAGGAATGGTCCCATAGATAAGATTTCCTCCAAGGGACAGACTAGTCAATATAGTGGACAGATTCGATATGGAGGCTGGCAGCTCACCTCCAAGTTTGTTGTAACTAACATCTAAGTACTCTAATTGAGTGCAGTTCGCCAAAGCACCAATAAATTCAAGACCACTGAACGAGTTATTCCCCAGAGCGTTATAACTAATCCCTAACCACCACAAATTCCGTAATTTTCCAAAGCTGAGAGGGATACTTCCTGTCAGGTAATTATAACTGATATGAAACCTTCCAAGGCTTGAGATATTGGTAAGTGTCATGGGAATAGCTCCGGTAATCTGATTTTCTCCTAGAAGAAGTATACTTAGGTTTGGTAGAAGATCACCAAAATCATCCCTAAGATTACCCGAAAACCTATTGGTGGCTAGGGATAAATACACAAGTGAGGACATGTTGTACAGTGCATGAGGAAAAACACCTGAAAACTGATTCACTGCTGCTTGGAAATACACCATTTGACTCAATCTAGCTACATCATCTGGAATCTCCCCATCCATATGGTTATATGCAAAGTCAAGTTCCTGGAGTGATGTCAAGTTTCCTAAAGATGTGGGGAACTGGCCCGTAAGGTTGTTTTCCTCCAGAAACAGAATGACAAGCTTAGAAAGTGAGCCTAGTTGGGAAGGAATGCTATGTCCAAGATGGTTTGACGATAAATCAAGGTTCAACAGTCTAGAGCAGTTAGAAAGACTAGGTGGAATCCTTCCTTGGAGAAGATTGTAGCTCATGTTTAAGTACTGAAGCCTAAATAGCATTCCCACCTCTTGAGGGATGATACCTCCAAAAGAGTTGTCCCCAAGATTAAGTAATCTGAGAAAAGAGAAATTACCAATGGAAGGAGAGATTGCACCGGCCAACTTGAATCCTCCAAGGTCCAGACTTATAACTCTTCCTTCTTTGCGACCACATAAGACCCCAATCCAATTGCAAAATGGGGAGGAATGATTCCATGAGGCCAAGAGCTCTCTCTTGTTTTCAGAAACTTGAGACTTGAACTCAAGCAAAGCTTTCATGTCAGTCTCATTTGAAAACCTGGCTTCTGCAAAGAACACGCAGCAAACTTGAAGCAACAATAATGTAGCATTGAAAGCAAGTGAAAGAGACAGCTTCATCTCCCTTATACAAAGGTAAAGAAGGGTTCTGCAGCTTCTACCTTAAAACCAGAAAAATGAAAGGACTTTTAAGGTAAGATGAAGCAAATCCCAAAATCTGATCCCATTATAGTCGTGGGGCTAATTAAACGCGGTCCAAACTCATTGACAATAGTGACAAGTCACTGACAACGAAAACAACAGAGTTGAATATATTGAGATATATTACTTTTCAACAGTGATGTTCAAATCAACTTATTAACGTGTGTGTGTGTAAACTGAGAAAAGATGGCCAATGTGATATTTTGTGTGGAGTACAAAGAAGACAAGATTGATACTAGACTTTTACAAAAAAATCACATACGCAAGTACGCAACCTCTTTTCTTCTTTTGTTAAAGTCTAGTATCAATCTTCCTAAAAAAAAGTATCAATCTTCTTCTCAAACTTGTGTATTTTGACAATCATAATTCCTGGTTAATGAAAAAGACCATTGAACAGAAACTCTTATTCCCAAAATCGTGAGACAGATACATTATACGAAAAAACGCAATCTTTACTTGTTGATTGATGAGAAACTAGTGGAAATAAAAAGATGATTTTTACTTAGACGATTTTGAGTTTCCTGGGTAAGTGCGTTCTCATAAATTCAATTGCTGTGTCACAAACCTCCGTAAAGAGCGCCCGATAATTTGGGGAAAGGCATAGAATCTAGCAAAATCAACTCAGATTGGATCTTCCGGCGCGCCATGATCAGAAGAATCCGTAGGTGGTCGAGAACTCTGATTTTTAGTAAGTTTGGAACTTCGAAGGTGTGCGTCACTGCTGACGGTAGAAAAGTGTGGTGTTTTTATTGATACAAGACGGCAAGTAGTTCTTCTCCCAAGGAGAAAAACAAAACTACTTGTAGTTTCTGTTATCTGAGATTAATTAAAATTTGAAGCCACATCATGATGAGTCTTAAAAGTTTTTTCCCTTTGTTTGCCAACAACAGTCCAATTTGTCGACTCACTACTTTCCCTCTTTTTACTCACTCACTCACTCACTCACTCACTCTCTTTTGTTTGTTTTTTGTATACAAATTCATTACATCAAAAAAATATAAAATGTAAAATTAACATCTTCACAGTGGCCAAGAGTCTGAAATAACAACTAGTGTGTGGTATTGAACTCTCCGTCCTTTTTTCTCTCTCTACATACTTCTCTTACCTCCATATCACAGCACAATCTGGTTTTGTTTCCAACTAAGGTCACTCACTGACTCTGTTTCTTGACTTCAATCTGAGTCTTGTTGTTCTCTCGCTTGGGACTTTTAGGGCTGTGCTATCTAGATCATCATCGTTTGGTTTTGAATCAGAGACCCAATTGATCATCATCTTCACTGTTACCTGGGTTTTGTTTTGTTGATCATTTGGGAAATAGTTACTGTTTTCTTTCTACCATTTTAATTGCAGTGATAACGATGCTTTTGCCTTTAGTGACTAATTTTTACTTAATTGGAGTATATGTTTGGCTCTCTATTCCATGAAAATATCTGAGTTTTGTTTGTTACCTAAAATAACAATTGTACTTTTTGGATTCTCAACGTTAAATTTGTCATATTTACAGAATTCTTTGTTCCTTGTGTGCATCATTATAATAACCAAATTTTTATTACATGCATTCCCCTCAATCAACAAGCATAAGATTGAGAACTATTGGTTACCTAACCTAGCAGAGCACTCTGTTCTGTCCTTTTCTGCTAATTGTTATTATTGTTATGAAGATATGCATCTGACTTTTGGGTTTCGGTTTTACTTGTGTTACAGCACAACAATGTGGTTCTTTGACTGATCCAAAAGATTATAAAGATGAAGAGAAGACGTTTCTATGGTTTGAAGCATCCATTTGATCCATGCCGTAAGTGTCCTTTAATTAATTACTTATAAATTTTCTTCTGTGCTAAGTTAAATGCAAGTTAGTGATCATGTTAATTGCAAATATTTCTTCATGTATAAATCGAACCATTATAACATAGAAGTTAAAACAAATTTTAGTATTTTGAGAAACTTTGAATATTGGAGAGCAATGTTTTTTACTTAGTTGTATCTATTTTTACTCTTAGCTTTCGAGTTCTTCTACTCGGGTACATGGAAGGCTGTGGAACACATAAGGATCGAAGATGGAAGAATGGCAATACGTCTGTTAGAGAATGTTTATGTGTTGGAAGATATTCGTCCGTTCCAAAGGCTTCGTCTCAGATCAAGAAAGGCGACATTGACCGACTGTATCTGTTTCCTTCGTCCTGATATCGATGTTTGTGTCCTCTATCGTCTCCATGAGGATGACTTGGAACCGGTATATGTAGCTGCAATTGCTTGAATTCTTTTTCCTTCATATACACTGCATCTTCAAACTCATAAAAATACTCTGCATTTATGTTGCTTCCATAGGTTTGGGTTGATGGGAGGATAGTTTCAATAGAGAGGAAGCCTCATGAGTCTGAATGCTCTTGCAAGTTCAATGTTAGAATTTACATAGACCAAGACTGCATTGGTTCTGAGAGACAAAGAATCAATAAAGATTCCGTGCTCATCGGTCTAAACCAAATCGCTATTCTCCAAAGGTTTTACAAGGAACAAAGTACTGATCAGTTCTACAGGTGGAACTTCTCTGAGGACTGCACTTCGTTGATGAGAACAAGACTTTCGTTAGGAAAGTTCTTGCCAGATCTTTCTTGGTTGACTGTTACTTCCATTATGAAAAGCATTGTGTTTCACATAAGAACAGTGCAAACCAAGATGGTTTATCAGATTATAACAGACGAAGGCTCTAGCAGTTCTTTGAGTTCCATGAACATTACTGTGGAGGACGGTGTTTCGTTATCAAAAGTGTTTCAGTTTAATCCGGCGGATATAGTCGATGATTCTCAAGATCCTGAAATAAAGCAAGAAACTGATTTTTATCCTGAAGAAGAAGAGGTAATGGAACTGCGTCGGTCCAAGAGAAGATATGTGAGACCGGATAGATATACAGGATGTGATTATCAGCCAGATACAAATGACGCTTGGGTGCGGATGATGCCATACAAGTATGATAAATTGGCTGTTGTTAATGTGGAGAGTGATCAGGACGAAGAAGAAGATAGTGATGAAGATGGTAATACTAATGATGATTTCTACGTACCATTGTCGCGTTTGTTCAAGAAGAAAATAACTTATTCTCGAGAAGAGATACCGGAAAGTCGAAAAGACGGGATTGTTTTGGTGGAGAAGAGGAAAGGAAGTAGACTTGGTCGAAAGAAGAGGAAATCCGAGATTTCGGTTATTCCTTTCACTCCGGTATTTGAACCTATACCATTGGAACGTTTTGGTCTCAATGCTAACTGTTTAGGTGTGGGTGGCAGCTTCTCAAGAAGCCAGTACTTTGACGAGACTGAAAAGTACCGAAGTAAATCTGTGAAGTACGGGAAGAAAATGTCGGAAATGGAAGAGATGATGGAAGCTGATCTGTGTTGGAAAGGTCCTAACCATGTGAAGTCGGTTCAGAAACGAATATCCCGACGACCATCGCGGTCAGTTGCTCCAAAAACTGAGGATTCCGAGGGACCACGGGTCTGTAGGAAAGTAACTTTGAGTGCAGGTGCATATAATAAGCTGATAGATACATACATGAACAACATTGAGGTAACAATTGCAGCCAAGGACGAGCCCACCAATGTTGTTGACAAGTGGGAGGAGTTAAAGAAGAATAATTTCGTATCTAAAGTGCACAGCGATATGGAGCAGACCTCTAATGGGGATGATAAGGGAGAGACTTCAGAGAACGAAATGTTATGGAGAGAAATGGATCTCTGCTTAGCTTCGTCTTACATTCTTGATGACAATGAGGTATATAATTCTCTTTGAAAACATCTCATATTCTACAACTATGTAAGCATGTGCCCGCTTATTCTATTTCTGTGGTGTATCAAAATCTCTAGGCAAGAGTGGACAACGAGGCTTTTGAAAAAGCGAGAAGTGGTTGTGAACACGAATATAGGCTGGATGAAGAAATCGGCCTGTGTTGTAGGTTATGTGGTCATGTAGGAACTGAGATCAAACATGTCTCTGCACCATTTGTAAGTGAAACTCACTACTTAAAACTGCATAATGTTACTTTGCTTGTAAATGATTTGTATTCCCTGGTTTGGTTTAAATAGGCGGAACGTAAGAAATGGACCATAGAGACTAAGCAGATCGAAGAGCATGACCTAAAGACTAAATGGAGCCAGGTCGAAGCTGAGAGAAAAGATTTCATTATGTCAAGTGATTCTTCTGAAATGCTTGAGGCTGAAGCCAGTGACAATGTTTGGGCATTAATACCTCAGCTTAAGAGAAAACTACATGTGCATCAGCAACGAGCTTTCGAGTTTCTCTGGAGAAATCTAGCAGGATCTGTGGAACCTGCACTTATGGATCCCACTTCAGATAAGATAGGTGGTTGTGTGATCTCTCACTCACCAGGAGCTGGTAAAACTTTCCTAATCATTGCTTTCCTCACAAGCTACTTGAAGCTATTTCCAGGGAAAAGACCTTTGGTTCTTGCTCCTAAAACAACTCTCTACACTTGGTACAAGGAGTTCATCAAATGGGAGATCCCAGTTCCGGTTCACTTGATCCACGGTCGAGAAACCTACTGTACCTTAAAACAGAACAGCACAGTTCAGTTCAATGGAGTTCCCAAACCAAGCCAAGATGTTATGCATGTTCTTGATTGCTTAGAAAAAATACAAAAATGGCACGCACATCCAAGCGTTCTTGTAATGGGTTACACCTCGTTTCTGACTTTGATGAGGGAAGACTCAAAGTTTGCTCATCGGAAATACATGGCTAAAGTTCTAAGAGAGAGCCCCGGGCTTCTTGTTCTTGATGAAGGACATAACCCAAGGAGTACCAAGTCAAGACTACGTAAGGCCTTGATGAAAGTTGGTACTGACTTGAGGATACTTCTTTCTGGTACTTTGTTTCAGAACAACTTCTGTGAGTACTTCAACACGCTGTGTTTGGCTAGACCAAAGTTTATTCATGAGGTTCTGATGGAGCTGGATCAAAAATACAATACCAGTCAAGGTGTGAATAAGGCGCCTCACTTACTAGAGAATAGAGCACGTAAGTTCTTCCTCGATAGAATTGCCAAGAAGATTGATGCGAGTGTGGGAGATGAACGCCTTCAAGGTCTCAATATGTTGAAGAATATGACTAATAGTTTCATTGATAATTATGAAGGGAGTGGAACTGGAAGTGGTGATGCTCTTCCCGGTCTACAGATCTATACATTGTTGATGAACTCGGCGGATGTACAGCATAAGATACTCACAAAACTTCAGGATGTAATAAAGACTAATTACGGGTATCAACTGGAGGTCGAGCTTCAGGTCACATTGGCAGCTATACATCCTTGGTTGGTCAAGACCTCAAACTGTTGCACAAAATTTTTCAACCCACAAGAACTTTTGGAGATCGAAAAACTCAAGCACGACGCAAAGAAAGGATCTAAAGTCATGTTTGTGCTTAACCTAGTCTACCGAGTGGTCAAGAGGGAGAAGATCTTGATATTTTGCCACAACATAGCACCAATTCGTCTGTTTATCGAAATGTTTGAGAACGTTTTCAGGTGGCAAAGAGGCAGAGAGATCTTGACCTTAACCGGTGATCTAGAGCTGTTCGAGAGAGGTAGAGTGATAGACAAATTTGAAGAACATGGAAACCCATCCCGTATCCTACTGGCCTCGATCACAGCTTGCGCAGAAGGGATTAGTCTAACCGCTGCTTCACGAGTCATCATGCTGGACTCAGAATGGAATCCTTCAAAGACAAAGCAAGCAATAGCTCGTGCATTCAGACCTGGACAGCAGAAAGTTGTTTATGTCTATCAACTCTTGTCCAGGGGAACATTAGAGGAAGACAAGTACAGGAGAACAACATGGAAAGAGTGGGTCTCGAGTATGATATTCAGTGAGGAGTTTGTTGAGGATCCGTCTCTATGGCAAGCTGAGAAGATTGAAGATGACGTTCTTAGAGAGATCGTTGGAGAAGATAGAGCCAAATCTTTCCATATGATCATGAAGAATGAGAAGGCTTCAACAGGGTAATGGTTTGTATATATAAAAAAACAGAATACAGTACTAACGAATAAGAGCCTGCAATTTTCTGCAAACAGAAACAAAAAGGTCAGTTCTCTGTTTTTACCATGGCTTTAAATATCCTAAGCTCTGGAACTCCTGTGTGTCATATACTAAGACTGTATAAGTAGTTTGTGAAAATGTATCATATACTAATAATGTATAAGCCAGTCCTAAAATAATGTGAAATAGTGAAAAAATCAATGATAATGTGAAATAATATTATGTGTTCATCTCTGCTATATCCTATATGAACAACTATTATAGGCATATTAATCTCTCGTTGGATGACAAAAAAAAAAAAAAAAAAAAAAAAAAAAAAAAAAATCTCTCGTTAAATCTTATATTTTTTTGGTAATAAGCTAACAATGTTGCAAAGAGATCATGAACCTTTTTGCTTACTTTTGTTATAAAATAATACATACAACTTAATCAACAAATAAATTATACAAAAAAATGGATAGAAAAAAAGAACAAAGAAGGAGCTAATAAGGGAGACATGTGAGACATCAAACTAAACTGGCAAAGGAAGAGGTAAGAGTGTAAGATACTTTAGCAAGAGGACCTCGTTGCTCCGAGAGCTCGTCAATGTCTTTGACAATGTCGAAGACCGCCTCTGGCTGAGCTAGCTTACGTGCGTTGCCTGAAGTATTTTCCAGCTCATCTGTCTTTGTGCTAAACCATTCCCCAACGATTCTAGCTGTCTCTTTGGGACTTCTTGTGAACACTCCTGCACCATTCTCCACTACATATGGCACATTCCCTTTTTCCTGATTGTTTTCAAGAGGAAATGATTTGAGAATTTATACATATATGAGCTGGTTACATTAAAAAAATACAAGTCTCAACAGACCTGTCCGGGAATGTAATCGTTGAGGATGATTGGTAGTGATCGAATCAGCGACTCAGCAATTGTTCCCGGTCCAGCCTGCAATATTCTTACAACATTTAGCTTATGAACAATTTGGTAACTGAGGTAGGCATAGAAACTGAAAAACCACCCTCGCGATGAATGGTGATCAAAACAAGGGTATGATTGTTCTGTTCCTCTTACTTTTGTGATGATACAGTCACAAGCTCCCATCCATTTCTCCATTTGAGTCTCGAATCCTCGAACCTATAATGTCAATAATCCATTTAAGTCTATGAGACTTGAGACCTATGAACCTCTAATAATCCCTAAGAAGTTTGTTTCAATCATATATACCTTAACAGGAATCTTCCATTCAGTGGCTTCCAATGCAGATGCCAATTTCTTGTTACGTCCACATATAACAACCATTTGCCCAATGGGCTTCTTGTTCTCTGTATCATACAACGCTTCCTCAAGAGCTTTGGCTGTTTCTTTCACAGGACCCATACCTTCTCCTCCTCCCATCAGTAGAACAGCACGAAGATCTTGATCCATCTCAAGCTCCTTTCTTAGATCATCCTTCACCAGAACAGCTCGTGCAAAAGATGGCCTCACAGGTAAACCAAATACACGGACTTGAGACTCATCGAGCCCATCAGTCAACGCCCTTTTGGCCACTTCTTGAGATGGACAATAGCACCTATTCACCCCTGGATGAAACCTAAACCACAGAAGATTATAAAAAATCAAATCTTTACAGCTACCATCTTCTCTCAAAGACTAAACCAGGCTAACAAGATATATACCAAGTAGGGTGACAAGTGTTGAGATCAGTAATAACGGTGACAAAGAGAACTCTTTTCTGTAGCTCTTGCCATTTAAGAACCCATAAAGGAATATGTTGCATCAGAGGATGAACACTAATGATAATCTCCGGTTTATACTCCATCAAACCAGCCTCGACTTCCTTAGCGTAATAGGCAGCAATGGCCGCTAGATAACAAGAGTGGATCCATTTAGGAGATGTGCTGTGAAATGCAACTTTCCAAAGCTGAACATGCTTCACCATGAACTTGTACGATCTCTCCATATCATTCAATGGCCACCCTGTGTATTCCTTCCACACGTCCTTGACAATTACCCTGTATTTATCTCCGAATTCGATCTTGAAAGCGTCACGAATGGCTTCAGCGGAGGCACGGTGACCACCTCCAGTGTCGCTCATGAGGATCAAGACGTTCTTGGTCCTCTCAGCACCGATCTGGACAAGCTCCATTGCTGATTCATCCTCATCGCTGTGACAAAAATCATCGTCGCTGTCGTCGTAGCTTTTAACACGGTGAATGTGATGATGGGTATGACGTGGAGTCGTCATTTCGCCGTCGCCAGCAGCTACCGTAACGGCGGATTTGGAAGTCCCGTAGACTCGTTCGAGCACTTTCTCTGCAAGGGACATGACCGTCGTCGCCATTTTATTAAAGGAGGAGGAAGAGACGAGTCTCTGAGTGCTTGTTTAGGAGAGAAACAAAACGGAGACTTTCCCGGAAAGAACTCCTTCCCACGGCGAGTTGGCACCGGAGAAGAAGAAAATTTCCGAGGAGAGAGAGAGAGAGCTTAGGGGTGAAGGGTTGATGTTGTGAGAGAGAAACATGGAAGGGGAGAAACAGAGAAGACTCGTTGTTTGAATGATTATTGCTTCGTGACATTACAGCCGTCAGTATCTCGTCTTTTTTTGGATTGTTCCATTTGTAAGATTCGAATATCCCACAGTCGTCGATTTTTTCACTTTTCTATTTTTTAGGCCGTTCAAATTTTTTTATGTTACTTTTATTTCCTGGAAAACCTAAAATAAACCTAGGATTTTTGACAAAAGAATAAATAATATATAGACAATTTAGTATCAGTTACGCTAAACAATTTGACTATATTATTGACTATATTTTTGGAAGTAACACAACACAAATATAGTCTCACTCACATTCAAACCAAACAAAGCAATGGTCAAATTCTTATAAAGACAGAGACTTGAAAAGTATTATGCGATCAATGCAGCTTCCATCGGTCTTCGTCCCTGTTGATAATACTCGAAGTACAGCTCGACATACTTCTTAACTGTTTTATACAATCTAGGTCTTGCCTCGGACACAAGGGCTTCTACAGGCTGAATCTCTTTTTCTTCACCCGGGACGCAAAATGTTGCCACAGATATTCTTTCCTTCTCGCTGTTAGTCACCACTCTATGAACCGGGCTCTTGTATATCCCATTGCTCATTATCTAACACACACGAGACAGAGAAAATTATTTATGTAAAAATCTAGACCAATCAATCTTTCACCATATGCATATATATAAAACTACATGATTTATTACCTCCATTTGATCTCCAACATTGATCAGAATTGTATCAGGAACTATTGGAGCTTTATACCATTTCCCATCTTTGAGGAACTGAAGCCCTTCCACATCTTTGTCCGGTAAGAGAAGAGTGAAAGCAGAGCCATCAGCATGCGGTTTAACCCCAATCACCTTGTCCGGCCTCGGACACGGAGGGTACATGTTGAATCTTGTATCCATCGTAGCACTTTCTCCATACATGTCTAGAAAGCTATTCTCTTCTAATTCCAACGATCTAGCCATGGCCTTAAAGAATTGCTCAATCACTACTCGTTGCTTCATTGTGTACTCTTGTAAAGTTTCCCTGAAGAAACAGACACCAATGTCAGTTAACCAATTAAGATGCTGTTAAAACTGAAAGGTATATATTATGACTTTACCTGAATCCGATTGGGAGTTCAGGCCAGAACTTAAGTTGTCTCCGATCTTCAGGGTAAGTAGTGATATACAAACGGTCAATCCAATCAAGAACTTGATCATCCCACAGAATCATGTCGTTGCCGTATCCTTGGATACTACCAATCTCTCTTGCGTACTTGTGTTTCTCTTCTGTCGGAAGCGCAAAAAACTCCTTGGTCAGCTTGTAAATCTTGTCAAGAAACGCTTCTGTTATTCCATGATTCATCACCTGTATCAATAAGAAATCAAACTCAATGGTATCACCAGATATCTCACTACAATAAAATTTCATGACTCTGATCATCACCAAGAAGGGCCAAACCTGAACAACGCCCCATGTAGAGAGAGCCGAGTGAAGCTTAGCTAACTCTTCCCGACCGTCTTCAGAAGCAGAGAAGAGAAGACTGAGATCGATGGCTGGAATATCCATCTCCGGCACCGGAACATTAAGAGGTTGACTTTCGCCGTTGCCAGATGCGTGGAGATATCTCTCCGGTAGTCCTTGGCCGGCTGCAACCACCTCTTGGACAGTCTTGAACTTTGGCTTCTCCATTGTTCCTACTGAGTTTAGCAGATCTTGAATTCGATGAACGTTTTGGGACAACAGAGATTATTTAATAGACTTATAGGCAAAAACGATCTTTGACTTTGTCGTTGGTTTGGCATTTTCTAAAGGCTAAAGCCAAAGTTCAAAGATAAAGCTATTTTTATATGCAGAAGAAGCAAGTTGCCCAGTTTAAAGATGCCTTTTGATAACATTTACATTTCGAACTTCGAAGACTTGTTTTTCCCCAAAAACAATCACTTTTGTAACTTCAGCGATGTTTTACCAAAAGTCTTATACATGGTAGATATAGGTAATATAAAGAAATTTGGAAGCAAAAGTACTCTCACCACATATAAGTATTTTGGACATGTCTTTATGTGATTAGTGAGACTTAAAATTTTCCACGTTTTTGACTACTAACATTTTGTAAAACAAACAAAAGGAAATTCTGAAAACAAAACTCACCATCACCACAAAAATATTGTCTATGATAGATTGAATCAGAGTGTGTAAATGAATGTTTAGGAAGAAAGAAAGAAAAAGTGAAAGGCAAGAGAATCACGCAAAGGGAAGCTTTTGATACTGAAACAAGAGGACCCACGTTGAAGACCACAGTGAGCCACACAAGCCTCTCTTCCTCCACCGTGTCCTCCTCTCTCCCTCTTCTTCTTCTCCTCCTTCTCCCACATCATTTCCTCATTCTCAATTTCACTTCTCTTTCCTCGTCCTCTCTCTCTCTGACGCCAACAATGGCGAGACTTACCTTGAGACCGCACAATCACTTCTTCTCCTCCTCTCCTATCCACGCACATAACCAACCTTTCCTCTCCCTCTACACCATCTCCCCACTCCACCACCACAAGCTTCTCAAATCAAGGGTTAAGTGCTCCGCCAGTGGTACTGAACGAGTCAGAGAGAGTAAGAAGCTTCCTCCTAAGAATCCTATCGAAGACCCTACACCCCAGCTTCCGGTTCCGAGTTCCGATTCCCAAGTACTGGTTACGGAAACGGAAACGGGTTCTGAACAGAATTGGCCTCCATGGAAAAATATACCTCAGAGATATAAGCTTATCGGTGCTACCTCTCTCGCCTTTGTTATCTGCAATATGGACAAGGTTTTTTTTTTTTTAATTTCCAATTGAAGCAAATTTCATTTCTTTCTCTTAAGGGCAATCCTGCTATGGTTTTAGGTTAGCTTCCATGAGATATGAGGATCAGGGTCTTGTGAATTTTGACTTCAATTTAGTAAAGTCGTAATTTTTCTTGTAGTTGATCAGGATCCTTTTCTTTTTAGGTGATTTTTGGTAATGATATGAACTCATGACTTTGTGAAGAAGATAGATGATGATTGTGAGGACCATACCATTTGACTAAAAATATATTATGTGGTGACAATTTGCAGGTGAACTTGAGTATTGCTATAATACCAATGTCACACCAGTTTGGATGGAGCTCATCTGTGGCCGGCCTGGTCCAGTCATCCTTCTTTTGGGGTTATGCCTTGAGCCAGTTGCCTGGAGGCTGGCTTTCCAAGATTTTTGGCGGCAGGTTTGTCTTCTTTTATTAAGCTCCTCCAAGTTTTTCTATAAGGACTGAATTTTCTGATGTATCCTTCGGGATTTTTTCGAATGCAGAAAAGTGCTTGAGATTGGTGTATTTACATGGTCCTTTGCTACAGCTCTGGTTCCACTACTTGCTGGATTCATGCCTGGTTTAATATTTTCTCGAATTTTGGTAAGCCTGTTCACATGTTTATTGCATTACTTTTTTTGCAACCACTACGATTTTAGAGGCATTCTTTAGTTACTAATTCCATTGTTCTTCAAACTTGTAAAAACTACCATGAATTGACTAGTGACTACACACTTAAACTCTTTCATTCTCCATCCCCCCACCCTACTCTAGCCTTACATTATGTCTTTGTCTTAACACAGAGATTTGTAACTCCAGGTGGGAATAGGAGAAGGTGTTTCTCCATCAGCTGCAACGGACCTTATTGCCAGGCATGTATTATTCTGGAGCAAATTTGAAGAGTGCTCATAGTTACTTGAATATAGATGATGTGTGTTTAATTGCTTATGCAGCGTTCTCTTTTTAATAATAAAAAATTTCAGGATCTAGATATGAGAATCAACTGAATGCCATATGTTTTCATGGTTGTTCTTTCGACTCCCATGGGCATGTTAGTATTCAGGAACTAGACGTTTTTCTTAACATAACTCTTTCTTCACTTGTGCTGAAATTACGTATACATGCATTTAGTCACTTGGTGCTTAAAATTATGGCTAGGCGTTTAAAGGCTTTTAGCCCCCTTTTTCAAATGCTGATTGTGCCATTTAATTACTGGGTACAGGACGATACCTGTTAAGGAGCGCTCACGGGCGGTAGGCTTTGTCTTTGGAGGACTGAGTTTGGGAAGTGTTTTGGGGTATGGTTTTCTTGATGTGATACTTAAAAACTATAGAAGTTATAAGTATGTACTTTTATATGGTTAATACTCGAACCAAGATGAATGCTCAGTTTTGAGACCTGCATGGACCTAATGTTTTTATCCCTGTAGGCTTCTCTTGGCTCCTCCCATTATCCAAACCTTTAATTGGGAATCTGTCTTTTACTTGTTTGGTCTCCTTGGAGTTGGCTGGTAAGTCTCATCAATTGCTGACTAAACACTTTCACAACATTGTTATTCAGACTATCCTTCTACATCAAATGAGAATAGATGATGGCGGACTTTATTTATTTCATCTTTGTAACATGATTCCGGCATGCTATTTTAGTATATCTGTATCCTCGTATCCTCATTGTTTTCCCCTATATGTTGAAGGTTTGTCGGGTTTCAGTTTCTTAATAAAGAAGAAGTTTCATATGAAGGTGGTTTCTCCTTCCTTTTCCTTATTCAAACTTAATTTAATCTTGAATAACCAGGGAGCTTAGATGTCTCGTAGTTGGACTTGTATTTATTACACATTACTTACTGTGTCGGTTTGTCCAAGATTTATACTGTATAGTGAAGCAAGTCGTTGAATGTACACTTAGCAAAATCATCTTTTGTTATCTGTTAATTTTCCAATTATTATAATTAATACTCCTCTCAGTTAATGGTTTGAATCATGTATCTGAACACCACTGACAATCAGGATTACCCTTTGTTTAATAGGTAATGAGATCTCTACTTCGCATAAATCAGAAAAAGCTACACAGGAAGAGCTGGGGAACTCATTGAAGGTTAGCCTTCTAATGTTATGCCTATGTCTTGCTTTGTTCTTTATTTCGTTTCTAATTGATATGAGGTTGAATTTAGCAATGATTCACTTTGTCAAGCCTACTGTTTCTACTGTAAATACGTAGTTGCAATTAATTTAATAGGAGAACTGCATAAACTTCTAGCAAAGGTGGAGTAGGATTGTATTCCAGTTGCATTCAATTGGTTTAAAACCATTTCCCCTAAAATGGTGCCAAAATGGCCTACAAACAAATGGTTTTGAAACCCCAAAACCTTATTTGCTTTAACTTGATGCTTCATTTTTGGGTACCGTACTATAGGAGATTCCATGGAAGTCGTTTTTCCAAAGCTCAGCTGTTTGGGCGATGATATACACTCACTTTTGTGGAAGTTGGGGTCACTATACCTGTTTATCTTGGCTACCAACTTATTTCAGGTAATTGCGAGTTCCTGTTCACCATGATAAATTTTACTGCTCATATTTTCTGATATAAAATCTCTAAAAGAAACATCTATGGGTATGCCAGTATTCTTTCTCTTTTGTTCTGTATCTTTGTTGGTGAAGAGAGTAATTTTGATCATATTTTCGGTATGCAGTGAGGCGCTGAGTCTAAATTTGACAGAAGCTGCTTGGGTAAGTATAAACATGTCTTATATATTGTCTTGTCACTGGAATATTGAGAAATCAGTTCAGCTTGCATTTTGCAAAGGTATAACATATGGGGTTTAATATGTGGATGTGAAGATCAGGTTTCCATCCTTCCTCCACTAGCTTCAATTGTCGTGACAAGTCTTGCTTCACAATTTGCTGACTACTTAATTACAAATGGAGTTGAGACTACCACGGTATAAAATCACATCTCGTTTCTTTGTATGTACCTACCTTTGTTACAAAACAAAAGGGTCTTGACATGAAGGCTCTTGCAGATCTATAATTTTATACTCAATTATCGAAGTGATTACTATACTCCCTTTTCTCATTTTGCACCAATGGTTACCCAGTTATCTAGATCAACCTGTTTGATGTGTAAACTCCTTGGGAATTATTATGTAGGTGCGAAAGATTTGTCAAACGATTGCGTTTGTGTCACCAGCGATCTGCATGACGCTTTCATCTGTGGACATTGGATTGCCACCATGGGAAATTGTAGGAATCTTGACAGCAGGCTTGGCCCTATCAAGTTTTGCTTTATCAGGTAACTAGAGATCTATCTTTCTATCCTCCGTCAAGAAATCTTGAAGTAACATCATATCATGTATTGAAGATGCACCTGAAAGAGTTTATTGTACCAGAATGACAAACACCGTATTTCTTTTTACAGGACTTTATTGTACTCATCAGGACATCTCACCGGAATATGCAAGCATACTTCTGGTATATATATAGTTCCTCATACAAAGACCATATGAGCCTTGCTTCCCTCTAAACATGCCATGTGATATTTTCTTATTTCATTTTAGGGCATTACCAACACAGTTGGGGCAGTACCCGGAATTATAGGAGTTGCCTTAACTGGTTTTCTCCTCGACTCTACCCATTCATGGACTGTAAGTTGCTAACCTTACCTTTATTTGTGCTCAGTAATCAAATTAATGAATTAGTAACTCAACTTTCTGATTATTGCGTAGATGTCTCTATTCGTGCCATCAATATTCTTCTACTTGACGGGGACTGTAGTATGGTTGGCATTCGCCAGCAGTGAGCCTCAGACGTTTACTAAGGAAGACTCATAGGTTTTGTTTTGTTAGCATGGAGACTTTGATTACTGTATAGGTAAAAGGAATGGTAAATTTTGTGGTGGTTGTGAAAGCAAAAACGAAAGAGCAGTGGTAATTTTGTTCACTGCCTTATCCTGATTTTTGCATAGTTGCAAATGAAACTCGAGTGTTAATGGTAAAGCGTGCGTCTTTGATACCTTCTCCAAAGTGTTCCGGTTAAAGTTCGGTAAGGGAGATGGACCAAAGCTCTTACGATCTGGTTTATATTAGTTTTGGTTCAATTTTGTCCCGGTGAATCTTTGACATGAATCAATGAAGATAACAACATCAGATAAGATATGATCTTCTAACAGATAGCATATTAATAGTATTAGAAATAGTTATGGATAATATAAGCTTTATCTTGTGGTATATCTTTGTAAGTCATGAATCATATTTAGCTTTATCTTGTGGTATATCTTTGTAAGTCATGAATCATTTAGAAAAAAGGAGTTTAGTTATTAAAACACGGTATATAATGGTTCATAAAGCGTTAAATATAAAAGTTTTGGAAATGACTGCAATCTCGAAAACAAGTTCACAATTACTCACTCATAAATTGTTATAAACGATATATACATATAAATATTGAAAATAAATTCAGCACTTGTATTATTGGTTGTTCAAACTAAATTGGAATTATAAAAGGAATTAATTATAGGGAAGAATTGACTCTGGTTTTAATTCTGCTTAGGTGGAAAAAGGGTAAAAGACAGAATTGACCCTGATCACGAATTGCAACCGCCAGAGATGAATACGTAAGAAGATAGAAACCATAAATAGAGATATGATGCGAATCAGACGGGGGACTCTCTCAATCTTTTCCTAATTAACACTTTTCTAACAAAAAAACTAAAAAACGCTTCTCTTCTCTTCTCTCTCTCTCTCGCTCGCTCGATCTCTTCACTGCACACAGTAGTAATAATGGCGGCTACTGGAAGATCAAGCCGATCAGTTCTTCGTCCTCTCTCTTCTTCTGCACAGAGATTACACCATCATCATCATCATCATCGTCAACGATCTCCTTCTCCTTGCAACCTCCGTTTGAACTTCTTTTCTCCCGGAAACATCGCCAATAACAAACCCTCGTCCTCCTCCTCCGTCGCGGTTTCTTCTAATCATCATCAGAAGAGAAAGTGTTTGTGCTCTCCCACGACGCACCCTGGTTCCTTCCGCTGCTCTTTTCACCGCCGATTAGAGCACGACAGATCCAAAACCCTAGCTTCTAATTCTTCACCGACCAAGCGTACCAATAGCAACCGCGGCGATGTTAGGGTTTGTGTTGGATTGAATCTGAGGAAACTTGCGTTGATTAATTCGCTTGCCAAGATTGGTAGTGCTGAAGCGGAGAGGTTTAGGACATCTTTAGCGGCGAATCTTGTTAAACCGTCGTCTTTTCATATCCTTCGCCATCCTGAGTTTCGGCCTCGTCTTAGCCGCTTCTACCAATTGCGTACAGTTCAAGATTAAGGACAAAGCTAGGTTTTCGTTATTTCCTTTTTTCCTTGCGTACAAAGGAATTATTTTTTTAGGGTTTTTCCTTGGCGCAGTGTAGAGATATTAGGACTTGGTTTAGTTGGTGCTCTCGAATTCTTCCTCTCTTTTTTTCATTGGAAAGATTTCCTAATTTTGTAATTAGGAGTTTAGGAATGGTGATGATCATCTTAATTCTTCTCTATGTTCTAAACAAATTCGCTGACTCTGCTTAAACTAAGTATGTTTTCTTATGGAGTCAACTTGACTTTTTTTGGTATGTGCGATTATATTTTGTTAAGTTTCTATTTCTTTCTCTTCATTATGAGAAGGTACATATGATATCACAAGATAAATGTTTGGTATGATGCAAACTTTTTTGTACATTCCTTTAAATCTCGGAGTGCTGATATATTAGGATATCGTGATAAGTAGTTGAGAATGAAGAACAAGCCTAAAAATTTGTTTGAGGTCATCTAAATCTCTGAGATCGATTGAGCTACCTCATCGGACAATTGATTTGCTATGGCGTCTGAGTTTATATGCAAAATTTACAAATATTGCTGATATATATGTGTGACAAGAAAGCAACTTATACGTCGTACGTAGATCACTACTCACTTGAAAATGACGTTTTGATACACAACACAACTGGTCTTAATTATATACCAACGTCGTAGTCTAAAAGTCAAGACTATTTGAACTAATTAGTTGCTTTGTTAATGAGCTCTGCGTTGATCCATCTTGGTCTTGATCCGTCATTTTCATTCGAATAAACACACTTTGACCTAAACCAAATCGATCATCTGGAATTGGAATCTCTGTCTTAGGTTTCAGATTGGGAAACCCGGCACTTCCCCATTCACCTCTGCCGCCTCTCTCAATCACAGAGGACAGATATATCGGATTAGCATCATGCGTACTTCTTATACATTTAGAGAGAGTTTATTTGTGACTAACCCAACTTCTTGTTGGTATAATACGTTTTTCAAATAAAGATACTATATAATTTTTATGTAAAATAAGACCAATTTCTATTTTAAGAGATGATTTTGTTGAGCAACAAAAAAAGAAAGGATTAATTGGATTTTTAGTACATTTTTGAAACATAATTATAAAAGTATTACATTTACTATTTATAGTTAGCAAACTAATACATTTTTACTATTTGAATACTATTTAGACACTATTAAAAAACCCTTTAAATCTAATAACTATAATATTAATCAAAATAAATTTGTTTTTAATAAAATTTCAGTTACATAAAAATCTACATTTTTTCTCTATAATTTGATATGCATTTTATTCTAATAATTTATAATATTTTTCAAACAAATTTTGATACGTACAGCTATCCTTATGTACAGTTGTGTGTCGCTGTACGGAAAATCATCCGTACAGCGGTCTATATATACGTATAATTGTACGTGTACAAATGTTTTTCTTGTCTATATATGTATATGTGTTTATGTGTAAATATGTGTTTTTGTAGTTGTTTCTCTTTGTACAAATATTTTATGTACAATAATGTGTTGCTGTACAGTTGTCTATATGTATAGATATTTGAAATAGTAAAATTGTACTATTTTGCTAATTATGAATAGTAAATGTACTACTTTTATAATTATGTTTCAAAAACGTACTAGTTTGCTAACAAACCCAAAAAGAAACGACCATCAAAGTCCCCATGAAAAGATGATGACTTGGTCTTTTAATAAAGCGTTTAGCGTTATGTCATCATACAACAAGGACAACGTATAAACAAAATTTATTGGAGTCATAAACAAAAGTACATTTAATCGTGTTTAATAACATTCCCAAAGTATTTTAATTATTAGCTGTAAAGTAAAAAGATTCGACACGATTCGATTCTTCTTCTTCTTCGTCTTCCCTTTCCCAATTTAATTATATTTTTTTAGTAAATATATAAGAATATGTGTAAATGATATAATAATGGTGTAGGCTAAACAACGAGTCGTGGCTTTACGACAAAGCTATCTCCTTACAGATGTGCTGAGCCACATGGTTCTTCTTCCTCTTTTTTCTTTTTTTGTGTTTTATCTTTTTTTTTTTTCTTGTTCTTCTTCTTCATCCTCCCATCATCTTTTTCCGGAAAATTTTCAAATCTATTTCCCGAGAAAACCCCGTTTCATTCAATTCAATTGCCGAATCTTTTTACCGATTAAGGATCTCGATTCGTGAGAGACGTTTCGTGTTCTATCTATCTTGTAATCCCAACCTTGGGCTTTTGTAAATTATTATACTTCCAAACATATTTGTTAGTCTGTTTCTTTGCTCTGTTTTATTACCATACCTGTGATATCTATTAGCTGTGCTCCGACATAGATTCTTCTCATGTAAGTATATTTCTTTTGTTAAAAAATATTTGGAATCTTTCTCTCGTTGTTTTGCTTCTGGGAATTTGCCATGGAGAAGCAGAATGAGGAGATATCTACAGATGCTGCTGAAACGAGCCAAAGTCAATTAGTGGGTGATGATGATTCCAAGGTTGAAACTTTTGATTCTGTTTTGGTAGCACAAGGGTTCAAGGAAGAAGGGAACAAGCTGTTTCAGAAGAGAGATTATGATGGTGCAATGTTTAAATATGCTGAAGCTATCAAGATACTTCCCAAGGATCATGTAGAGGTTTCTCATGTTCGTTCTAATATGGCTTCTTGTTATATGCAATTGGAACCAGGCGAGTTTGTCAAAGCCATTCATGAATGTGATTTAGCACTTACTGTTACTCCTGATTATAGCAAAGCACTGTTGAAGAGGGCTAGATGCTATGAGGCCTTGAATAAGTTGGATTTGGCCTTGAGAGATGTTTGTATGGTTTCCAAGCTGGATCCCAAGAATCCTATGGCATCTGAAATTGCTGACAAGCTTAAGAGAACTTTAGAGCGCAAAGGGTTAACTGTCAATGATTCTGTGATCGAGTTGCCTCCTGATTATGTTGAACCTGTTGAGGCTTCCCCTGCATTGTGGGCACGAGTGAAGAAAATTAAAAAGATCAATCAATTGCAAGAGAAGAGCCATGGCGAGCACGCGGAGACAGAGAAGAACAACAACAACATTCTTGCAGCTGATAAGGGTAAGGAAAAGATTATTGATAAGCAGAGTAATAAGAAAGTAAAAGGGAAACAGTCGGATAAGAAAAGTGATAGGAGCAAGGAACAGGAAAAAGTGATAATTGAGGAGAAACTTTTGGATTTAAGTGTTGAAGATGTAAACAAGGCTGTGAAATTTGTATACTCTGATGACATAAGATTGGCTAAAGTGCCTATAAACTGCACTCTTTTTCAACTTAGGGAAGTTGTTCATGAGCGTTTTCCTAGCTTAAGGGCAGTTCATATTAAGTACAAGGACCAAGAAGGAGATTTAGTGACAATCACAACAGATGAAGAGCTAAGAATGAGTGAGGGGTCAGCAAGGTCATTGGACACTATGAGGTTCTATGTAGTGGAAGTTAGTCCTGAGCAGGATCCCTATTTTGGAAGACTAGTTGAGATGAAGAAGCTCAAAATAACCGCTGATTCTTTTAAGACCAAGGTAAATGGAATTGGTGCGTGTAAAGTTGAGGATTGGATGATCGAATTTGCTCGGCTCTTTAAGATCCAGGCCGGCATTGATTCTGATACATGTTTGAATCTTCAAGAACTTGGGATGAAACTCAATTCAGAAGCTATGGAGGAGGTGGTAACCTCTGATGCAGCTCAAGGGTCTTTTGACAAAGCAGCTCAACAATTCCAAGAAGTGGCAGCACGATCATTGTTAAAGTTGGGGAATGTGCACATATTAGGGGCACGGAAAATGTTGAGCCTCCTACGAGGTGTTTCTGGAGAATCTGGTTCTGAACAACTTAAAACTACTTATGAATGCGTTCAAAAGGAGCACACAAAAGCAAAAGAGAAGTACAAAGAGGCCATGAAAATAAAGTCGGATTTATTTGAAGTCTTTCTGGCACTAGGTCTGCAGCAATTTGAGGAAGCAAGACTTTCATGGTACTATGTTCTTGCCCGTCAACTTGATTTGAATACATGGCCATATTCAGATGTAGTACAGTTTTATCAATGCGCCGAAAGCAATATTAGAAAGTCTATGGAAGTGTTAAAAAATCTGGAAACCAAAATGGAAAGTGAAACTTTTCAAGCAGGCAACACTGATTGCCTGACACATGAAAAGGTGTTAGGTACCTCAACTCAAGATAACCCAGAAAATGAAGCAGGAAGGCTAAAGTCATGGGTAGATGTTTTATTGTGTGCTGTACTTTATGAGAGGTCAATCATGGAGTACAAACTTGACCAACCATTCTGGCGAGAGAGTTTAGAAGCTGCAATAGAGAAATTTGAATTAGCTGGAACTTGTAAAGACGATGTTGTTGCAATATTAAGTATAGACTATGTGGAAGGCAATACATTACGAGGTATTTCGTGCTCTAGCTTAATGTTGATTTTGAAAAAATAAGCCATGATGTTTACTATGATCTTTTTCATTGCTGCAGATCTAAGGTTTCACATGGAAGAGATATTACATATATTTAATGAGATAGATGAAGCCAAACAATGGAGAAATGGGATCCCTTCAGATCAGTTGGAAGATATATTAAAGAGGAGGACTGAAATTATTTTTCATATGTCATATACAGGAATCCAACGTGGTTAAAGGGGTTTCCATGACAGTGGCACATAATGACTTTGGTCATTATCTTGAACAAGCTTCATTCCAAGGTACATGCCATGGTACATATATAACACTATCACGGAATTGTTAGGTCTGAGATACTAAGAGTGTTGTTGGCCAGTCTTAGGTCTGGCCCTTATGTGCATTGGTTGAAGATACATGAGATAACTTATTCAGACCATGCTTTGTCCATTGCATTCTCATCGTATTTTCTGTCATGAATACCGAAGTATTACATTACCAATTGTAACTGTTATAGGCAGTCTTTTTTTGTTGTTTGACTTAAAACGAATTGTTCACATTCTGGATGGCACTCGAGTTTTAATTCATCTGACCACAAAGATATCTCTTTGCAGGTTTGGCTTGTGGTATAGGATTTCACTCAGATTTTTGTAGGAAAGAAACATATATAAACGACATATATGTTCTATTTTGTTTGTGTAACATTCATACGGTTTGGCAAGGAGTGAAGCAAAGATATCATGAAGATTCTTCTTCTTCTTCTTATGTCTCAGGGTGAGTTGTAAGTCTTGTGACTCTATTCATTGGTTTTGACTCGGATTTCCTTTGGGGTGAGACATTCATCCACAACACACCTACTTGAGTTTTACTGTCTTTTTCCTCTTATTGTGACCTCCACAAGGTTTTGGTGTGGAGTTAGTCATTCTCTTGTAATTCGTTGTTACATATAAAATGTAATGATGTGTTTGTTGCGATCAATTTGCAATTTGGATATGATTTGGAAAAAGCCACATACCTCAGCTCAGTAAAACATAATGTACAACCGTCTTTGTTATATTACTATCTTCACCCGAAACAAAGTCTGATCTTATCAATGACTCGACGAGAGCACATGATGGAATAAAACCACAAACCAATGTTTTTAGAAAACTTGAACCAGAACAATAAGCTTAACAAAATGAAAACTCCAAAGAGAATAAGTTCTCTCCCTACGGAATAAGCAGGTGAACCTCTGAAGCTCTCCGGTTTTTGAATCCCTATATATAATAAAAGACATACGAAAGGTAATCTAGAGAAAAGAAATAACTTAATGGAAACAATCTAATTCTGAAAAAAAGACATCCATGGTTTAAAACCTTGAGAGTTACTTGTGTTAATGATGATGTATCAGCACACACGTGTTTCTTACAACACAATGCACATTTAAAGAACATTTGGGACACGCCCCTATTACGGAGGTACAACAGGTCGGGTTGGGTTGCGACCAAGACCAAGTCCCAACCCCAAAGGAACTTTATCACTCTTTGACTTATTATTATGGCTATGGCTGCAGTTGGAAGAATGAACATGTGTTGACTGTGAATTATGTATCGGGTTAACATTGATAGCGACGTGGCCATTGCCATTTTGAAGATCTGAATTCCGCTGCATCTGCATCATGCTAATACCCTCTTGTCTCTGTGTTGCGTCTTCTTCATGACACTCGATATCTTCGTTATAACCTTTTACTAAGAAATCTGAGCAGTTTCGTCTGCACCCTAGATCATAAGGATTCCTGAAGCGACCACCTGGACCTCTTAGGTAGCTGTACCGCAGTGCATTAGCCATTTCGTTTGTAGTTATGTTTCTTGATATCTGTAAAGGAAAAAGTGGAAAGAATCAATCTTCGAGATGAGGCAAAATATTCCTCCATGGAAATAAAATTATCTAGTCTACTTAGTGAGTTAATCTAGTCTACTTCGTAGCTATTCTATAGATGAATACTCTGGGGAAGCGAACAGTCTTTAAACCATTTAGGTCACAAGAGGAACAAAGAAGTGCAAATAAGGAGAAAGAAGACTCACTTGTGAAGCTTGTATGACTGTTAAGACGGCAACAGAAAAGAAGAGGCAGAATTCCACCAGCAGAAAGGATAAAGCACCCACATGATTACTAGCGACATGACTCATCCATGCTCCAAAAGAAGATGGAGCTGAAGGGTCACTCAAGACTCCTGCATGTATATAATGCATCATTTACATTTGTCATCCGAAAGTTTTCTCCAGATTTACATATCACAATTAAAGGGCATCTTCCACTGTAAACGTACTTGCAAGAGTGACACCACCAGTTATCAGCATCGCTAGAACTTCAAGTAGAAGAAAAAGAAAAAATTCCCACTTGTTTTTCTGCAAAATAGGTTAATGGAAACCAAGCACAATTCACAGATGAGTATCACAGACTAGTATCATGCTCGAGCTGCACGTCTAAGAAACCAAACCACTCGCAACCAAAATAAATAGAAGAGGTACTATGCCACCAAAAAATATCTCCGACGAACTCTATACCCAAATATGCAACAAAAGTTACCACTCTATAATTAAGACCGTCTAAACCTTTTTGAAGAGAACAGTACGTAATGTCACATCAAAAGAGACGAGGTAAAATAAGGCAGATTTAGTAATATAAAACGTTAGTATCAAAAGCCTGATCCATCTACCCATTTTGCCAACTTATATGTCAAAAACTAATATAGGACGACAGGAACTGTACTTACTTTTCCAACACAATTTGATACCCAAGGACAATGGTGATCGAATTGCTCTACACAACGATCGCAGGTGGAACAATGCTTAGCTCGAAGAGGTCTAATAATCTGAATAATAATAAAAAAAGTGGGACCAAAAGAAGTAAATTTTAAGATGTAGCCTCAATAACAAGTATTTGGTGTTAAGATTTAAGAAAGACATAAAACGGAATTTAAGCAGGTACCTTGCATGTTGCACAGAGCTGTGTCCAATTCCCAGCAAGCAAAGCAGGGTTGTTAAGCTCTATTTTTAACAGTGGTTCCTGTAAAGGGGTAAGATAACCAGTAACGAGACTTGAACATCAAAACAGTACTGGAAATCACACCTATATGTCACTACTTGAGAACTAAAAAAGCTAATAGTACTAACATCATCCTTCATAGTTTGCGGATCATGGATATTCATTCTGATGTAACCTGGATCCTTCCTGCAGAAAATAAAAATTACATTATAAAACAATGGGAAATCTCACTTCTTCTGACACAAAGGTATTTTCATAACACTACGCGGATCACAACAGAAACTTAAGCTGCAAAGAAGCTAAGGTCTTAAATAAAATCCCAATCTGCGGCTAGGTCAAATGAATGAAACCATGAAGAGAACTGGCCTTAAAATACTATAATGTAAAATCCAAATCTGCAACCGCCAGGTAGATAAAAAATTTATGCGTAGCATAGATACACTATACTAATAATCAGACAGCGTCAAAAAGCAGACATAGAACTTTTAGAATTTAGACAAAAAGGAAGTCAAGGAAGGACAGGGTGAGCATATACCTGCTACAGCGGTAAAATAAAAATAGTCCTGCAGTTGCAAGAATGAAACCTAGCCATGCAAGTGCGCCAATCCCAGTGGTTAACTTTGGCAGATTGGATGCTGCAATGGCCAGAGGATTCATAAAATTATAATCATGCATTAAAACAGTTACTTGATATGATGCGAGTTTCAAGAAGTACAAGATAACTACCCAAAATAACAGAATTTGTATATACGAGCAGAAGCAGCAGGATCATTATCCAAAGAACTGGAGCGAGTCCTAACTTTGACAACCTTCCAAGGGGACTACTTCCGTCACAACGCTTCTCAAGCAGGTTTCTAGCATTACCCTGCACAGTAGTGTTATCAGACAGATACCCAGACAAAATACTGACCTAATTTTCTCAATAGTTGAAGCATAATGCTGCTCAGTCTGAATGGATAAGGAAATCTACAGGCTTGGAGAAACTAACATAGTAAATACAAGTAGTGTTGACTAGACCAGGTATGCAAAGGTCAAATGAGATGCCATAAAAATCAGGCCAATAGAATGATTCAACTACCATTTATTGCGAGCAGTACAGCCACTACAAAAGCATCAAATAAACAGTATGCTACAAATTGCCACACAACAAACAAGTAAAACAGATACCTACAAGGAAAAAAGAAACTTGTCTGTGATTCTTTTCAGCAGCAAGTTGTGCAGGGGTTAGCCCAGTCTTGTCAGTAATCATCAAATCCTCTTTCTTTCCAGCCTGCACCAATACAGTGCAAGCCTCCAAATTACCTCGGATGGCAGCCCAGTGCAAAGGAGTGCAACCTGATATACAAAGGAGAAGATGTAAGAATTTTCTGGTTAAAGTAAAAATATACAACGGGAATTTCAAAGAATAATTATGTTTGTAACCACCTTCTTTGTCCTGCCGTCCTCTATAGGCATCTAGAAATAAAAGTAGGCGAATGGAATCTGCAAAACCTTTATATGCAGCCCTGAAATTCTCAAATTATGAGAAGAAAATAAAGACGAAATTAGAACTGTCTTCTGAAAAGATACTGAAAACAAAAGAATAAAAATTCAAAGGTCCACATAAGCAAGCTAAAAATCTTGTTGCAGAATAATCCATGTAACAGTAACGAACTCTCAGTAAAAAATATGGGAAAGAAAATAACCTATGTAACCTTAGACTCTAGATGGAAAACGGTGATACGAAATTCACAGATCTTCATAACAAAAAACTAGAGAACTATCATAGGCAAATAATGACAAAAAGTAATTCTAATCCACCCAGCATATTTGCAAGGACGAAATTGTACGAAGAGGTATTTTAATCTATAGGAACACTATGGAAAGGAAACAAAGAAAACCAACTATACAGTCTCCAAATAAGCGTGCAAGTCTAAAAACTTCGAAGTAAATATGAAAAGAAGCCAAAAACCAATTAACAAGTAACAAGAACGAGCTTGTGTTCCACGTAGCGACAACCATACCAATGCAAGGGGCTTCTTCCATCATTGTCTGGCACATCAGCATCAGCATTCCACTTGGAGACAACGTGACAAAGAAAAGCAGTCTGGCCGTACTGTGCTGCAACATGTGTTGGCTACAAGCAGTTTAAATTGGCTATTAGCATACATCATTGAGAAGTAAACAAGAGAAGGAGGGAAACTTAATTGGATCCAGTGAAGAACATTGACAAATAACCCGAGCTTTACTAAGAAACTCTGAGAATAAGAAAAATTCAGTTTTTCAACCTCTAAAACGAATGGAGATGGCAGAAACAAGGTCTCTTGAGATTTATATATGAATTTGAAATCACTATGAACATTCTAAAAGAAGATTAATATCCAGGCTAAACGAAAGTTCTGTGTGTTAGATAAAGCTTTGAATAATGGGTTACGAGAAACGATACTGCTCAATATCGTTCCGAAGATAAGCAACCTAGTCTTCCAAGGACTAAATACTTAGATCTAACCATTTTTAATGCATAATATTGATTGAACATAAGCTGATTTACCAACATGAACCTCAGAATACATTCATCTTACTAGAAAAATGCGACCACAAAATGACAAGTAATAGTAGTTATAGTCTATAGAACCTGAGTGCCAGGCAGCCTGAAGCAATGTGCAGAAGAGCAGTTCACTAGCATTTTAGACAAAATACAACCTTCCTTAAAACAAGAAGTAGTTGGATAAGAGATGAACCTGATAGCCATACATATCCGTGGCATCTACCCTTGCTCCCTCTTGTAGTAAAAGTTCTGCGACTTGTACCGCACCACGAACAGCACTCCAATGCAATGCAGTCTGTCCAGTATGATCCGTAGCATTTACATCTCCACCATGCTGGAAAAACAGAAGCGCACAGGATCAGTTATAGAAACTTGAGAACCACAACAGCTCAAACCTAATTTGGCTCAAGCTTAACAATTCACACAATGGGAACAAAATAAGCTACATAAAGTAGT